CCTTCTCCCTTTCCCTTACTGAACTGCGTGGACAACCTGTCCCAGTGTCCACAGGGTAGGAAACCTGGACTGAGACCCATGCTTGGAGGCAGCCTCTCCAGTGGTGGCACTCTCAATGATGTAGCCTCAGATATGAATGTAAGATTACAGTGGTAAATCAATGGCCTTTTAGCTCTGCTCTGCTCTTTAGTGGTGACATTTTTATTTTCTGTTTTACTTCCCTGCACTTCATAGTCATGTGTGCTTTTCTGTTTTTCTTTACATTTATAGCTGATGCAGATGCATTTAAAATTCTCCTGGAGATGAAGATGAAGAAGAGGCAGAAAAAGCCTACTTTGCCAAGCACTGTGACCGAGCTTGACACCGAGGATGGTTCTAAAGTGTATGTGGTTGGAACAGCCCACTTCAGTGACAGCAGCAAAAAGGATGTCGTGAAGGTAAACACTATGTGGGAGCCCTTCAGCAGCACGTTTATAATGTTGCTAACTTAGCATTAAGTAGAATGAGGTCCAGCTCTCTGACTTGGTTCTGTCCTGTAACCTCCAGACTCTGTTTTTTCTCATTAGCTGTTGGAGGGCTAACATATTGGAGGCAGACATATTATCTTAATAATTTTTGATGCAATACATTGCTCTCCCATCTCAAATATTTTCATTTGTCCTTAAACAACAAATGCAGTTACAGTGTGAGTGTTAAAAGTAGAAGTCTCACTAGTGAAGCTTATGTTGCCTGTCACGGTACAGCATCACATCACACCGACAGTGCGTGCTGTGATTGTTGCATACTCACTGTGATGGGGACGTGCTGAGAAGATGCAAAGCCTAGAACAGAAACTGCAGTTTACAGCCTCTCTGTGCCCAGGGCGTATAATACAGAGTTGTAAAACCATGCCGCCCCAAACTTGGATTTCGTTCTCAAGATGCAAATAGGTCCAAAGCTCTAGTGAAAATGGAAACTATTTCATTCTGTACCTCATGCAAAGTCTGCAGTTTAGAGTGGCTTTATTCTCCGGGAGCTAGAGGGGAGGAATCTTGTGCCAGAATCATCAACCCTGGTTTTTACAAAGCTTGGTTTTACTCAGATTGCAAATGATCGCAGAGTATGGTCAAAGGAACTTTGTGAATGTGAAGAGTTTATCTAGTTTCCCCCCTCACCTCCCAGCACAATATGTTCTCCATCTCCCTGTCCCAAAGCATCCAGTAATTAAAGCATTTCACTGTCATCTTCCTTAATGTTTTTCTCAATACATAGCTATTTGGAGAAGTCTTATTCCTTCACTGTTCCTTTAATTGAAAATGATTGCTGGAATGTGCTCTTATTAAGTCACTTTTCTCATGGAAGTTTTGATATTGGCTGCATTTCTGTTTAATCTTTCCTAAACTGGTGTAAATAAATTAATCTTTTTCAGACAATACAAGAAGTGCAACCTGATGTAGTTGTGGTGGAACTATGCCAGTACAGAGTTTCTATGTTAAAGATGGATGAAAAGACATTACTAAAAGAAGCCAAAGAAATAAATCTGGAAAAGCTTCAACAAGCTATAAAGCAGGTATGATTCCCACAGTGAGAATTAAAGGTTTGTGTTAAAAGCAATTTGTCAATTTGCAACCAAAACCAGTGTAGCCACCAGCTGAGAACCGATATTGTTCACCTAGGCGCGAGTACTCTAACAGTGACAAAGTTAGGTTTGGTTGGATGGTGTTTGTTTTTTGTTGTTGTTTTTTTTTTTTTTTTTTCAACTGGAGTATTGAGGGCTTCTGTTCCACATTGGGATTGTTTGGGCAGTTGACCTTGGCAGGAATCCTCCTGGATTTAACAGTTGTTCCATTTGCAGGACACAAGTCTTAACGTTGTAATTGTGATGCTCTGCTAATATATTTAAATATGATTATTATTCCTGCAATCTGCATCTGTACCACAGCTATTTAGGGAGCACTTAATTTTGGTAGTCTGTTGTGATCTGTTTAGTTGCATTCCTTCTTCATCCTAGTGTGTTGCTCTTTCTTTTTAATTCTCATACACTTCTCTTTTGAGTATTTTCTGATTGACAGTAGACCTTGAGGGAGGTTTTTGAAAAATCTGGGCTGAAAAGTGTGGGATGCTATTCAAATTATAACTACTCTGGCAGTTTGGTGCAGTCTGGGATGTGTTTACAAAGCAAGTGTTGTCCTGAATTTTTTCAGTTTCACCTAGTTAGCTTGTATTTAAGTAATTTTAGGTGAGGCACAATGAGGCAGCACAAAGTTGACTTAGGAATGATAGGACATTTGATTAGAATGGCAGTATGTAGTCAGTAGTAAAAAGAGTTTCCAGTGTCCAGTTGAATGAACAAATTAATAAATTGTTATTTTGGTTGTGTGGTAATTATGTATTGGAGTTGTTTTATTGATGTAATTGGGGAATTTCCAGGATTGCACCCCTCGTAAGACTATAATCTGCATCCATGCAGAAGCTCTTGCAGTGGCTAGTCTACTTGTGTGTGTGTGTGCACGTGGGCACATAGTGCCTTAGTGCAGGCTTTCTGACTCATGGAGTTAGGCAATAATGTGTCTTTCCTGTTTTCTTTATTTATGTCCTATCGAAGGAAAGAACATTGCAAAACTCTTGCATATTGCATGAATTACTGCATCCATCTGTTTATTTTAGGTAAGGTGGATTGTTCTGATGCATGTAGCCAAAAGAATGCATGTTCACAACAACCAGAGCAGCATAGCTGGGGGTCTTCTGACCTTGTAAACAAGCACAGAAACTTTTTTTTTTTAGTATCAAAGCTAAATGCCACAGTTTTTGCTGTACTCCTCTGTTAAGAGGAGAAGGACAATGAAAATAAAATAGCGGACTTCTTTTCTCTCTGATGTAAATTTGTGTTGGCAGCTTTGTAATTAGCACTTCCTACCAGGACTTATAGTGATCTTCTGTACAGGCAGAAGGAAACACAGACTGTGTTGGCTCCAAAGCCAGAGAACAATACAAAGATCCTTCTTATTGTTACAACTCAATCTTAGTCTCCTTTGTCACTAAAGATAATGCAAATAATAAAATTTAGACATTGTGCCTTTTAGGTAATATATTTATCAGTCTATAGTCTCAACAAAAAAAACACCCCAACCTTCCCCCTTTGATTCAATAGCAGCATGGGTTATATAGGGAAAACCAGGAAAAACAGTCCAGCTGTCTCATGCTAAATTATGATGTCTTTTCTCTAGTAAAAATCAAACCAGCTGGTAAGTTGCTCAGTCATGCTTTGGGTGTCCCCTCTCATTGAAATGCACATGTTTGGGCCCAAAAGTTACACCAAAAGTCAAAACTGCTTGTAACTTTCATCCTTGTGTATCAAATTAGGAAAAGTGTGTCTTTTTATAATCACTTGTGATAAATCTTAAGCAGTAAAATTGCATTTCATTACTCTTAATTGAAGTTGGAAACAGAGCAGAGTGTTAACATGAAACTGTTACACACTTGCAATGGGTCACTGGTATTGACAGCTTATCAAGCAACTGTTGCAGGTTAAAAGCAGCCTTCTTCCAACCCCTCCTTGAATTTCAAAACCCTTACAGTTGTTTGCAGAGAACTACCTGTTTGCTTTCATTAAGCAAAACAACACAGTGCAGACTGGTATCTGGCTCAAATGCAGATTACCTGAAGATGCACAGTAACAGCTGGCTTAAACCAAACTGGTAAGACAGGTTTTGTCTTATCTTTTCCCTTGGCTACCTGTTTCCACTGTCCCTTCTGTGTCCTTACCACGGCCCCATGTTAGTCTGAACAGGGCTTGCTTTTTAGCTGCATCATGTCCCTATGTGGCTGTACAATTGCTAGTCTTGACACAGCGGAGGAGTTGAGAAACGTTGTTCTGGGGCAGAAGAGAAAGTGGGCTGGTGGCAACAAAATCTTAGCTCAACCTCACTTTTTTAACCTACTCCTTTAGGCTGAAGTTAGCTGGAATATGTTCTAATTTTTTTTGATGCTTCTGGCCAGTGAAAAAGCCTTCATCTTGCACCGTATAATATAGCCCTCCTTGTTTAGGTAACCTATAGGATCGTCCTGTTAAATAAAATGGGTATAATGTGAATTGGTAGATGACAGGTACATCCCTATGGACAGGAGCAGGCTGCTGTCACTCGCTACCTTCACTTGCGCTTTAAATTCTAACCTCCAGTGCGCTTGCACCAGTAGGAAACCAGTTCGGGGCTCCAGGTGGCAAGGCTGTGTTTGCACAGGGCTGTGTCCATGGGAATTAGGGTTTTTAAAAGAAGACATCCAGAGGACTAAAAAATAAATGGTTTGTTTCTGCCTGCAGATCTGCAGTTAGTGCTGGATCTGTGACTTGTTACGCAGCCAAAGAGTAGCCCCAAGGCCCCCTCCTTAGGCTGTGTTCCCATATGTAGTGTCAGCATTTCTGTGCTGAGTCCAGTGGAAGATTTGTCTGCTTCAGAAGCCCTCTGGCAGCTGTCAATAACGGATGCCTGGGGAAAGGCAGTAGAACCTGCAGTTGTACTTTGCCTGGGTATTCCTCTCTCTTCCTGTCCTTTTCACTATCTCCATGCTAGTCCCATGCTAGTCATGGTGTCTGACAGTGTATCTTCCTCAGTTATCCTTTCCCAAGCCTCATGAGTATTTAATATGTTGAATCTCTTCTCATATGTTCGGTATTTCTTTGCACATTTTCTAGTTCAAGTGTCTTGTTTTCAAGACAGGAGTCTGCTAAAGATTGTGCAGCAGTGCATTGAAGTTTCTGTTTTTTTCTTTCCTGGTAATCCCTCTTACTCTTCTTGCTTTCTGACTGCTTTTGAATATTGGGCTGATAAAATTGGTATTTTGCTTTCTCTGTCCTGTTAGAATGGCTCTGCATCCCTCTGCCTGTGCAGTTGAGTTTCTTTCTACTTGTGCACTGCTTTGTGTTTATGGCTATTGCATGTAACCTGTGAAATTATTGCCAGCCACTCAGGATTTAATGTTCTTTTGTGGTCAGCTTTCCTTTTTCTGACATTGAATAATCTGGTATTGATAATAACCTCTTAGTGTTTTGTTCCCATCATTTTTTGTACATTTTGCTCTTTATCCCCAGACAGTATCTGGCTGGCCAGTTATTGCTGGTAGCTGCTACATACAGCTACTTGTCACCTTTTATCTCCTTGATGCTGAGCCAATACAGCAGGCACCGAGTTTTGTGCAGGTTAAGAGCACAAATGACTCGGACAGACTTCAAAGATGCATCTCTCTGTTAGCCAGCAGGATGAACCTTTCTGTCACAGTGTAAAAATGCAGCTTCATATACGTCAGTCCTAAAGGGGAGATCAGCCAGCAAACAATCTCAGGCTGCATTATCGGAGTTTTCTTTTCTTTGTGTGCATCTTTTCTGAACTTCTGGAAACCCTTGTTCCCCAGGCTTTTGAACTGGACCTCAAGGATGCTGAAAACCCTTTTTCTGACTGCCTTCTTTCTTTTTTGTCTCTCCTGAGGAGCCCAGCGCTCTATCTGTCTGCCATGCTTGCTAGTTCATAGCGTGGTAAAGCAGATAATCAATTGGCTTTGAAAACAGCCTCTCTTTTGCCAGTTCTGGTCCTCAGTGACCCTTGAGTCCACCTAACTGCAGAAACTGCCTCTAACCTTTGGAGAGATCACACAAGCACCAGTCTAGCACAGCACCATTTGAGCACGGCCCTGGGAGCAAGAAATGGAGACCTGAACCTTCCTCTGGTAACTTCAAGCAGTTAGATTAACTCGAGCTATCCTATGTAACCTCACCTTCAGTTGCGTGAAGCTGGTGACACAGCAGGAAATTAACCTTTGGTGAGGGAAGGGGGAATGCCCCTTTTTGGTAGTGGAACAGACTGGTGCCGAATTGGAGGAGATTCATAACCAAGGTACAGGTTACGCCTGGGGACAGGTGACACTCAGCCACTGAGTCTTAGCTGTAAAAATAAATGGTTGAGGGCAGAGAGAGCTGGACAGAAGGATCAGCCTTGAATGGATTTGAGATGGTTTTTTCATCCTTTTTGTAAAAGGATAGGGAAGAGAAGTTTTGTGTAAGTATATATAGTAGAATTTTTTTCTTTTTAAAAAGAGGACTCTCTATTTTTAGATCTCTGTTCAAAAAGTAATAGACTGTTGCGAGGAGGGGTCTTCAGTCTGCTTGTGGGATTGAGTGGTACTCAGGACTGTGAAGCCTTTTCTAAGGTCTTACATCCTTAAGTTATGCACTGCAATTGCTTGCACAACGCTAGATTCTCTGTGTTTCTGCATCTATTAACCTAACCAGTCCTCAGCTTAGTGTTTCCCAGGATTGTGGAAGTGTTTATGGTTAGACCACTAGCTATTTCCCTTTCAGTATCTCTATAGTGTGATGTTCACTATACGTTCAATGGAATATACTCTTGGGGTCCCTTTTTTTGTAACCAGATAGATCAAGAAAAATTAAATGCATAGTATGAGCTGTTTTACTGTTCAGTTATTCAGATACTTTCTTCAGTCTGTATTTACTCCACCTGCTTGAAGAAAGTCTGGCTGGCCTCCTTTCTTTTCTTAACTCTGCCATACATTTGTGTTAAAAGGGAGAATACTTTGGCCGCACACTGAAGTGAAAAGCTACTCCACAACTGATACAGACTGAAATAAAAGAGCTGTATCGATCAGTGAATTAGCTCCAAAAGGTAGCTTCAATGCTGCTTCTTTACTAAGATATTTAATGTTTTTTTAATGACTGAACAGTGCATTCTTCTTAGAAATCCACACAGCTTGTTGATTTTCTTTTTTTTGTTTGGTGTTTTTTTTTGTGTGTGTGTTTTTCTTCCACCAGAATGGAGTCATGTCTGGATTGATGCAAATGCTGCTTCTGAAGGTTTCTGCTCACATCACAGAACAGCTGGGAATGGCCCCAGGAGGAGAATTCAGGGAGGCTTTCAAGGAGGTGCGAACTTGAAATGGTTTTTCTGAGGTCAAATTACTGACCTTTTGCTTGCAGAGTCAAACTAAATAAAACCATTTGTTAGTGACTGGAAAAGAGCACTCTGGCCTTACTTGTGCTGAAGCCCGTGAAGTAGTAAGAATCATCTTCGGCTTCAAAGTGTACTTGGAAGTACAGAGGTTTGTAGCTTAAGCGGCATGAAAGCAACTCCAAAAAGGCTTCAAATTATAAGGGTTTTTCCTGATGATATTTCTGATGGCATTTGTTTTCATTTCGTTAATAATTCATCTATTTTGTTCCTGGTAAATAATTGTTTTTGAATTCTGGATATGGATCCTGGTCCTGCTGTTGGGGGTGTCAGGGTTTCAGGCTGTGAAAACCAACTGTAAAGCATTAATGAGATCTAACACATTCATATAGAAAGATTGTTTGGGGAAGCAAACTATCTGACTGGTTTGTTAGTCCTATCTGGTCTTTTAACATTGCCTTTGTACTACTGCCAACTGTGATACTGGGAAGCAAATAATAGCTGGATTTCTTCTGTGTATCACAGCTACTCTTTTTTTGGCTGGGAATACTGAGACACTGTTTTCACCGTATGTATGCACCTTGCAGACTGTATCTTGCTATTTTTATGTAAATTAGGTACTAGTAAGGAAATCTGAGATAACACAGCTGTTAAAGAATCTGGAATAATTTGGTGTGTTTATCCTTAATAAAAAGAAAACTGTTTCAAGGCTTACTTTCCTGAGCATTCCAGACCAGAGTGAAACATTTTAAGTGTTTTAAATGTTTCCCATTTTAAGTGGGAAAGAAAAAAATACATTAGCTCTGTACTGTTCTGAAGTGGTTGTTTGAAATTTTTAAACAGGTATGCATACGAAAATTTTCTCGAAATTCTGTACTGTGCTAGAATTTGTCAGTCTAAGCTACAGTAAAGTCTCGCCTCACATTGTCGTGTGGTATCTGACATCAGTTCTTGTTTCATAAGCTTTTTCTTGAATATGTTTTACCATGACAAACTGATAGGTTAGTGATCCTGACAAATCCTAGGTAAAAGCAAAATGGCCACAATTGTTTCACCTTACACTTTATTCAGACCCAGACAGATATTGAGCCCCATCTGTTCACCTTTAGTCTTAAGCAGAAGCTTTCTGCTTAGCTAAAAGTAACCTAAGGAGAGTGGCATTACAACTTAATGTTTTTACTGCAATATCTACTGCATCTTGTAGCTGATGTATTCCTTTATGAAGTAGTATTTTGGAAATTCTGCTTACTGGAAAGCTAAAATATGTTTTGATGTTAAAGTATGACACTGTTTGCTCTTATTTAAGATACCTTGTATCAATAAACAAACGTTCTCTTAATAAGGATGTAGTGTGCTGCAATATGAAATGTTGATTAGTGATTTGTATCCTCTCTTTCAGGCCAGTAAAGTACCTTTCTGTAAATTCCATCTTGGAGACCGACCCATCCCTGTTACATTTAAGAGAGCAATTGCTGCACTTTCTTTTTGGCAAAAAGTCAAGCTTGCGTGGGGCCTTTGCTTCTTATCTGACCCAATCAGGTATGAATAAGCATTCCGTATGTTTATCGGTGTGTTCAGTTCTTCAGTTTGGCTTTAGTATGAGCTGGAAGTCCTCGGTACACAGTCTGATACAGTGAAACTTGAAGTTAGTGATAAGGATAAATATATAAACTAGCCTGCAATAATCCATATTTTTGAAAAGAAAGCTGGCTTTCCGACCTTCTTCTAGCTCTTTCTTCAATTGTCTTTTGATACATTACTTCCAGGCGAAGTGAAGTATTTGGTGCTGGAGAATTCCTAGTGTACTTCAGAAAAAACTTTTTTTTATATAATTTTTTTATTTTTATGCTGAAAATATAATCTTTCCCGCTACTGTGTGTGGATATTGTAAATAGAATAGAGTAGGGCCTCAGTAAGCTAATTTGTACCTCCTTAAGATTTCCAAAGGACTTGGGCCTGCTGTGCTAACTCACATCTGGATCAGGACAGCTTGCAAACTGAATCTGCTGGCAGAGCAGATTTTTGGAACAAGAGAAAACGTGTGGACATGTGGACTCTTAATGATTATTGCCTTTAAACGGACATTGTTAAAACTTTTGCCTTATGGTAATATTTCTCAGACAGCTATTCTCTTGCTCAGTTTAGTTTCCCCTACCCTTCAGACATCCCTTTGCCACATTTGCTTCCTCTTTCCACAAATAGATGTGTGATAACGTGCTTGAACTGGGTGAGAACATAGGCACGGCTGTCCTCCTAAATGCAGTCTGTTCCTACCAAACTCTCAGTGGTGGGAGGCTTGCCAGAAATGGGTTTCCTGTGCATGGAGTCCCTGTATCTCAGTGCCCCTCTCATACCCTGTGACCAGAACTCTCCACAGCTCATGGAATGATCTATGGCATTTTCTACAGGCTTTTGAAATTGGGCCAAACTGTAGTTCTGTCAATCAAACCTTCTGTTGTCCAGTTTTAGCATTTACTTAATTGTAGTTTCCTGTAAATACTTGCTGTTACATTCATCTGTAAAATGAGTTTGATTCTGTTTCAAGCCATTAGCTACAGTTCATGCACAAAATAAGTTTTCTTACTTACTAGTCTAATACCAGCATGAAACCATTTGCAGGCTTTTGAGAGGATTGGAGGATATATTTCTTTGCAGCTTCTCCCATTTTTTTAATCCATCCTAAGAACATCTTGGTTTTCAACTGCAGTATTAAGATAATTATGGTATATGCACACTAGTTTCCCACTGAAGCTTGGCCATAACATCTCAGATGTCATAGAATTGATTAATCTGCTACATTGATTTTTAAAAGTAACATGTGGGTAGAGATTGAAAAGGAAAGATGTTTGTAATCGGGAAGTTATTGCAGGGGGTGGGAGGGATTGTGCACCCAGCCATCAACGTGAGATTCTATAGAAAATGGAGTAATAATTCAGCATCAAATTTTTGTCAGTCTGATGACGTTGCTATGATCTGTTGAAATCTAGCAATGCATTTTTCCTTTTGGTTGCCCTATTGATATTTGTAGCGTCCTTTCTATCTTGGGAGCTAAAGAAAGCGTGTTTGGCATTATTCTTCAGTAGACAGTGGTGAAAAAATAGATGCTTCTGTTGCCACAAACTATGACTGTACCACAGCTATGAGTGCAAACAGAAGGTTAACAGCACCTATAAAAAAATATAAAAGCCTATTACATTTACTCCTGCAGTTTTTATTTGTTTATTTCCTGCCCATTTCCTATTCTTATGTTCAGGGAATTGATTTATAACTAACTTCCCTGCTGAAGACCTGTGATTGACACTAGGAACCTGCAGAATACTCTCTGTCCCCTCAGACTGTGCCTTACACTGTGCTTTTTTTTTTTTTTTCCTTAAATAGCCCCTCTGTGTGTTCAGTGATCAGATCTGCTTCCTCAGGAGTGCTCTGTGTTGGCTCTTCTAAGCTTATTTATATACACTAGAAGTGGGGCAATGTGATAACTATTTCCTTTGAAGCCCCAGTGCTTTTGCTCAGTTGAGTTGTCAGCTTTTAAACTGGGAAGGGTGAAAATCCGGTTGAACTGCCTAAAGGCAAGTGACCTCTCTTCTTTCCCTCACTGTAGAGGCATTGTTAGGTATCCAGTTTTACAGGTTTATGGAGATTATTTTGCTTTTGGGGAGGAGAACTGTAGAGCATGGGTTTAGATGAATAATGTGTGTAATATCCAATTGTTTTTATTCATTGATTTGTCTGTATTGCGCTTTGAAAGCTTAACAGATACTGAGAAAACTTACCTTTCTTTCAGTAAAGATGATGTGGAGAAATGCAAACAGAAGGATTTACTGGAGCAGATGATGGCGGAAATGATTGGAGAGTTCCCTGATCTTCATCGAACTATTGTCTCGGAACGAGATATTTACTTGACCTACATGCTGAAGCAGGCAGCAAAGCAGATAGAACTACCTCGAGCTTCAGAAAGTAATTGTTTTAAAGCAGATATCATAATCAGCAAGGTGTTCTTTGAGTACTAGTCCAAAGTTCAGTTCTTCTCAGGAAATCTGGGATGTTCTGTTCATGTGTGCCACATGTCACATAAGATTACAGCACTTAAAAAGTTAAAAAGGGATGTTACTCTTCTGTTGCAACCACCTAGAGCAGTAGACTCCGAATTATGATTCCTTTCTCATTGTGCTATTTAAAACAGGAGAATACTAATTAGCCTGACGACTTTTTCAAAAGGCAGGCATCTGGTATTACAGCACAGCATGGGGCAGTCTGGGCTTATGTTGTCTGTCTCACTTCCACCCTGGTACCTCACCAAATTCATTGTCGTCACTAGGTGCTCAGGAGCACATTTCTTGCTAAATTAATTACCTCTGATTTCAGTGTTCATCTTTGCTTTGCTTATTATAAATTGGGCTGCTAGGAACCCTGATGATGTGCCAATGATAATGAAACGTGTGACTCTGCATGTTTCAGCAAGGTACAGGCATACAGAATAATTGCATTTCTCTAGCCTTTGGAAGTATTTTGCTTGCATATTTGATCTGCACGCCCTTCCTATATATAAGCATACTGAGGTATGGATTACCTCTTATATACTGTCTTAAGAAAATGCTGTTTGTAATCTCTTCAGTGCAGACCTCTGGCACTGTCTTGTGATTGGAAAAAATAGCGAGGGGATTGCACTTGTGTTCTTGCATCTCCCTTGCCTAATATTACCTCAATGCTAACTTCATAAAGTTTGTCCAAACACACGGTATTTCCTGTTAGCTCAGTTGATACGGCTGAAAGAGGCACAGATGCATTCAGTTACTTGTTCCAAAGAGCAGGCTGAAAATTTAGTTTTATTGTTAGTCCTGGCTGGGTCATGAGCCACAAGAGGAATTGTTTAGCAATTCGCCTGCTCTTTTTTTCCCCTTTAAATCTACCTTTCTTAAAGCTCAGTCTCTGGATCAGTGGTTTAGTGAATGCCTATGAAAGCAGAAGGGGTTTATATGCATTATGAAGGACTTTAAATAGAAGATGGGACCATAAAAGACAAGAGTGTGAGGGACTACCTGACTGATAATCATGTGTCTCAGTCTCTTAATTAAGAAGAGACAATGCCAGAGACGGTTTTGTTTAGAAGATGTGCATTCATATTGTATATGTACAATCTGTTCTATGCATTCGTGCTTGTGAGAGGCAAAAAAGAAAAAAAAAAAAAGGCAAATGATATACTTATTCATACTAAAATACAAAACCTCACGATTCAAATGAGCAGAAATAGGGCATCATCATCATCACCGTTGTGCAATCCTGTGCTGTTTTTTTTTGGACACTATTTGCAGGACTCAAATATACTTTTGGTGTGATATATTCCTAAAATAGGTCTGATTTGTTCCTAGCCTTCGTCTGACTCTTTGCCTGGGTGAACTTTTCCAAAAAGCTTGCAAATGAAACTTTCACAGTTAGTTTTTCATTCTGTCTTTACTCCACACAAAATACTCTGAGACAGGGATTAAAAATTTCTTCCGGGACTGGTTCAGGCAGGGCTTTAAACATTACTGGTATCATCCTTGAACGCTGCCCAGAAGCAGAGAGGAACATAGGGGCGGAGGTTGGAGCGGGTGTGATGTGCTGTGGACAGCCCGTTCTGCTGAGGTGCTGTGCTCTGCCTCTGTTGTTGTTGCAGCTCTGATTTAGAGCAGCCCTAGAATGGTCTGAGAAAAGGCAAGTCCAAAGAAACGATTCTGAAAATGCATATAATAGTTCTAGTGTTTGCAATACGGTTTTGTTTCACTTTGAGGGGGGCTGCTTTTCAAATTTTTCCTTTTTACTTTTTCCTGGAAAAGTCAAGGGTGGATATTTAAAGCAAGACAGTGGAACGAACTTGCATATTATATTTAGGTATAATTTTCCCCATAGGAAAGCAGCTGATTACTGTTACTTAAAGTTTTCTATGAATTTATTTTTATTGTGGTCTGGTACCGTTTTTTTTATTGGGGGAGAGGTAATCCCCAAACTTTGAGGAACAACATTTTAACTTCACTGGATGTTGTGGAATTTGGATGTTAGACGGGAGGTGAGGGTGAGAGCTGGCGTGTGTTGCAGTGGTCCCACAGTGACGGGCTAGCTGCTGCACACGAATGGTACGACTGGCCACGGCCAGGTCTGTAACAGTAAACTTAACGGGGACAGGTGTGGTCTCAAGCACTGTTTTCCAATTGTTCATTCTGCTTGTTAGCCCAGGTCTTATCACAGTTTGGGTGTGTGCCAGCTGTCACTGCCCAAAGTGGTGGAGAAAGCGCTCTGTTCAGGAGGCAGCAAAGACCAGGGCTGTTCCTGATAAGCAGTAAAGAAACATGACCCACATATGGAAGGAAAGAAATTAATTTAGCTTGCACCTGCAGAGCTTCTCACCCTGAGGCTGGAGTATGAGCCCTGGCCATGTCTGTTTACTGAAACAAACGTTTCCTGAAAATCCAGAAACTGTGCTGATTTTTTCAGACTTTCAACATAAAAGGCAGTAGGTGAGATGAATATTAACTTTTAGTATGTAACAGAGTTTTAATGTCTAGTAGTAAGAGTCCCTGCCTCTTGGAAAATTCAGTTTTGTAATCTCACACATTACCTATTTATTTATAGCTTGAAACTAGTTCTTGTACTGATGTGTTCCTTTCTCTCCATCTCTCTTTCTCAGCTGAGCCTAGAAAATATATCCCAGCTGTTGTAGTTGGTGTTGTTGGGATGGGTCATGTACCTGGAATTGAAAAGAACTGGAACTCTGACTTAAACATCCAGGAAATAATGAGGTAACATTATCCTTTCCTACATGTTGACATAACAGCTTCTCTTGCTAAAAGATGGCTATAATTGGTTTGTTTGGGGTTTTTTTTGGTTGTTTGTCACAGCTTGAAGAAACATCACTACTGTCATCCCTGCCCTGTCAGCTCACTGACTTGCTGTGCAGTGTTTGCAGATTGTGCTTACAGCAAAGGAAAAGAAAATTTCAAAGGAAGATAGTAAATAGTTGGATACCAAGGGAAGTAGAGATGTGAAGATGCCCTTGTCTAGAAAGAAAATTCATTGATCCACATTTAAGGCTTTTAAAATGAGAATTCAGATGAGGACTGTAGAAGATGGTGAAAACAAAACCAGGCTTCCAGTCTAGCTTAGGTAAATATTGATAAATATAAACTGTTGGATTCAAAGCTTTTGTTGTGTCAAGACACTGCTGGCTCTGGCAAGCTTACTACCACAGTTGCTCGTAGCCTATTTTTAACTGTATATATAAGTAATAATATGTTTACTGTGTATACCTAAATATTGGCTGATTTAAGCCACATATCTGAACTCTCGCTCCAAAGTACCTGTTAAAATAAATCTATGTGCTTTGTAAAAGAAGGAATTGAAGAACCAAAATGTTCAGACTATGTGTATCATATAAACCACAAAGGTCAAGGCTTCAGAAATGTAGGAGGGATTATAGTACGACCTGGTATTACTGGTCTGCAGTGGTTTAGGATAATAGAGCATTTCAAATATTAGCACCTGATCTTATGACATCCATTTATTGTGTTTATATAAGCACCTTGTCCATCTCTTCAGAGACTCTGAAAAACAGAAAAGACTGTGCCCATCCTCAGTGGTGTATTTAGGCATCTAAAATATGATTTAGAGAGACTTCTAGTGTCTGGATTCAAGAATGCAATGTACAGAAGCCCTGCCATGTATGTCTTTTTTTCAAGGCTAAGTCTTGCCTGGAGTCACAAACTAGATGCACCCTCACAAATAACCTGTAAAATGATGTTGCCAAAATCCATATAATTATCTGGTTGATGTTAGTTGCATCATTGACATGACAGAACTGAACAGCCCAAAACCCGATGATATGTCTTCAAGTTTACATAGAGGGTCTTTTTCATCAAAGTTCAGGCTCTGACTTAGAATCATAGAATCATTATGGTTGGAAGAGACCTCAAAGATCATCAAGTTCAACCGTATACCTGACACCACCATGCCCGCTAAACCCACTGAACCATGTCTTGAAGTGCCACATCTAAACGTTTTTTGAACCCCTCCAGGGATGGTGAGTCCACCACCTCCCTGGGGAGCCCGTTTCAATGCCTAATGACTCTCTTCACTGTAAGTTCTTCCTAATATCCAACCTGAACGTCCCCTGGCACAACTTGAGACCGTTTCCTCTTGTCCTATCGCTAGTTACTGGGGAGAAGAGACCAACCCCCACCTGGCTACAACCTCCTTTCAGGTAGTTGTGGAGGGCAATAAGGTCTCCCCTCAGCCTCCTGTTCTCCAGGCGAAACAACCCCAGAACTTGATTATCTTTACTGTGCCAGAGCCATAACTAAGTGGAAGGGTTACCAGTGTCTTTCATAAGACATTAATATTGCATTAACTTGACTTTCAAAAATAATGAGGCTGATGACATTTGTAATCTTACTATATTTGAGACTCCGTTGTTGTTAAACTTTCTTACGCCTCATGCTGTTGCACTGCAGTTGCAGAGCAGAGTTCGGGCGGAGGGGGTTGTGAGTTAATAGTTGTCACCTCTCTAAAGTGAAAAGTTTTTAAGACTTTTACAGGTATTTAGTTAGGTTTTACAAGTTGCAAAGTGATCTTGGACATTGTCTGGATAAACATAGACATTTCTCAGACTTCCCATTTTTGAGTTCATGCATTGAACCTGACTCTGAGCAGACCTTGCTGTTTGTTTCAGATTGTTATGAATTGATTTTTTTTTTTAATGGTGCTGAGGGACTGCAAATGAGAAAGAAGAGAGAGAGAAGCTTGTAAGGAGGTGTAAAGGGATGCCTTTACCCCATCCTTTGTTCAATGAATATGCTTTTTAAAAAACTCTTCCCATATATTGCCTTAATATGCAAAATCTTACCGGTAATAACTTTGCCCTAGTTTGAGCACATGGATCTAAACTCAGTCTGGTTGTATCCTAATCTCAGTGCGTCTAACCTGGTTTGAGTGTGCCCATAATGTTTGTGTACTACTGTAACTGATTGCTTCTGAATATACTAGGGACATTTTCTAGGTACAAGTAAATGAGAACTTGTGGCTTCTTCGAAATGACACGCAGAGGAGACCTCGCAGTCAGCTGTGAGAGGATTATCTGGGGTGCAGCGTGGGCATGCTGTGTGTGCAGGGCCAGCTGAGCTACTGCAGAGCCTGTTAGTGAAGGTGCAGGGCTACCTGTGCATGTGGCTGTGATTTCAAAGCCAGCTTCATTTTGAAGGTGGTGTTAACTGTTTCCTTGTACACTAAGTTAGTAAGACGGCTTGAAGGCAGGGGTAGACCTGGTGTGCCTGTTGTCCTCTGCCCTCCTGGTTCCAGGTGGCCAGTGCAGAGACTTCGAAGTGGCTCTGTGAAGATCTCAAAGCCAGCAAGACCTGCCACACCGGAGACAGCTTCATGCGAAACCTCTGAGTTGTCCGCACTGTCCTCTGCGGAGCTCCAGAGGCTGAGAGCACTGCAGGGGCTTGGCCTCCACACGCTCACGCTAGGAGCTGCAGCTAGGCTGGTAAGCCTGCCTGGCATCCAAGGGTACACGTTCCTGAAACGCCCCTCCAAATCTGTGTAGGGGCCAGCCTGGCTCTAGACTTACCCCTTCTGGCCACACAAACCTCACCAGGTTTTGACACGCGTTACCCAGAACATTCAAGCTCTGTTTCCCTCCGTTACCCTGAATGACAGCGAGTTGACTGTACCAGGTGTTGGACTTAGGCTGTGTCCGGTGTTTCTTCTGACTTTTGTCTCTGTGCAGAGATACACATAGTAGTACTATAAACAGTTTGACAAGCAATATTAACTTCTATTTGTCAAGAAGTCTTGATGTTGTCTTAGTTATTTTGGTAGGGTGATGGGCAAGTCAAGGTCCATAGCCATTAAGAGTGGCATCGTATGTAAGTGAAAAAGGCTTTATTATTATTAATTTTTGTTGTTGTTATTTAATTTGGATGTAGCCCTTGAACATGAAAGAATGTGTTGTTTGTTTGTGATGCATCTGTTACCTGAAAGTTTGCTGCAATATAAAGGGGAAAGGGAGAAAAGATCCCTGTTTTGATTGGAAAATGGCTGTTCTTCCGGCTATGCGAACGTTAACATTGTTTTATATCTTTTGCTTCAGTGTGCCTCCTCCGTCAGCGTCAAGTAGGATTCTCAAATTTGTCATAAAAGCAACCGTTTTTGGACTGATGGGATATGGCTGCTACCGAATAGGTCAAAGGACAGTTCAGTTTATTCTCTCGATGCCAGCAGCACAGAGCTATCTTCAGAAGCTGACAGAAATAAGGTCTCAGCATTGAAGATCAAGTTGGAGGCACTGTGTGAAGAAGGTGGCTGAAAAAGGGTGATAGAGGCAACAAATGTGAGCTGGACTGAAAGAAGAGTGAGATGAGGATTCTGGTCAGAGGTGATTGATGCTGGGCGACGTTGAATCGCTGTATAATAAAAGATTTGATACTAAAGTTACACCAGCTATGAGCTAATGAATGGGTTTGATTCCTGGTAAGTGTGTTGGATGAAACCACAGGATTCCAGATTAAGGTAAAAGAAATACATACACAAATATATATATATTATATATACTTATGCTGTATATATAATATATATTACTGATGATGTAGTGCACACAGCTTAAAGAGTGTATGTTCATGACTTCTTTTCCGGAGGAACAAAACACCACCAAGTAACCTAATCGGCTGCATCTGCTCCGAAGTTCAGGGACACTTGTCTTGAGTGATTCTTTGCTTTTTTCCCTTAGGTATAATAATACCTAATGGTCATTTCTGGTGCCAGACACTTTTACACATAATTTAGAAGGACATCTTCTCAATGTGTGTTTTCTACTTAAAACATTTAGGCTTTTTTTTAGAATTGTACAGGCTGTCATACGTACACTGCTCAAATTTTTTACAAGCCTTACTGAAGAACAGGAACGTTGCCTTTAGATTGCATCCCTTGTTACCACCACTGGTTGAATTGTCTTTCTCCTGCATAGAGAAGGTATAGCCACGTCATCAGAATGCCGTGTGGTTTGTGTCAGATGTTTACAGGACACTCTGTTCCTTTAGATTAGCTTATTTAAACTGTATTATTTAGCCAAATCCTGCTGGATTCAGTATTGTAAATTTAAGAGACTAGAACTACTGTACAATTTACTTTTGTTTCTTGGACCTTTCATTACTGAGACAAGAAGTATGGAATTGATAGTACCTGCCCCTTGGTTTTGATACATGAAAATATTTTATTTATCAATGTAATTTCTCAGTGAATTAATATTTTAATCTATTTAATAGAAAAGCAATGTTCAATTTAGTTTTTCAGACTAGCTGTAGCATTTTATTTGGATTACCTGCTATTTATACATAGAATTATGGGTACTTAAAACTGCTGTGATTTTCTTTCTTAATTATCCAGGACAGCCATCCATCATTGATCTTTTTTTTTTTTTAATCCTAGGTTCATATTTCATAGGAATTTTTTTGGTACCCTTTATACAGGATTGTCAATGATTGTAAAGTGCCCTCTGCAATCAGCTAGTCCCATTTCAACAATACAAATAACTGTAATTGTCATATCAAAGTTTTAACCAGGTTTGAATGGAAGAGTCCCGTTTGTTCCTCAGGCTCATATACAGTTGCTTATTGCTTAAAGTGAAGTTTTTATCTGTATCGGCTTCTTTTGGGAATGAAAGATAGGAACCAGTGTGTGAGGCAGGAGGAGGAAAATGTGATGTTGTGTTTTGTGTTTCTTCATTTAGTAGGGTATATTTCCAAAGCCTTGTGTTGGAAATCATCCCATACAGTCTGGTGTTTGCTGAAAGTATGTACGTGTATCTTCTGTGCAGTGTCTTTTTCAAGCTTTTTAAATGAAATTAAGGGTCTAACGCTCCTCTCTCTGATAGCATTGACCTTGGTGGGAGCTGGTCTGTCCACTCAACCTGATGCTTTTCTGCCTTGCACTTTGAAAATTATGGGTTCCAGTGTGGCAAATCATTTTAAGTGCATGTTTATCTTTAAACCCATCAGATCTAACCCGATCCTGCAGAGCTCTTAAGACGATGCTAGGTGCTTTTCTGGATCCAGGCCTTAGAGTTGTGCAGGGAATAAACTTCAGCAAATGAGAATGGCAGCAATTCACACTTCTTGGACACAAAGTGTAAATGATAATACGCAATACAGTGGAGGCAGGTCCTTTTATTTTCCATCTATCAGAGCTTAAGAAACCACCAGCCATCTCTAGCAAGAGGAAAAGCAGCATTTCTAAGCAATTTATAGGAGACTAGAGTGACTGCCTGAATTTAGATTCCTGATTTTTTTTAAAGGTTTAATGTATTGTTTACAATTAAGCAGTCCTATTTGAATAATTCTATTACATTTTATGTACATTTTTAAAAGATGAAAGCAAAAGCTTAAGCTCATTCTTCTCCTGGCTTTACTGACATACCAAAATACTGTTTTGTTGGTTGTTGTTTTGAGAATTTTTAGCTGGTAGAATTCAATATATTGATGTTTTGCTTTAAGTTATCTACAGATTTTTAAGGTATCTGCAGATATTTTAAAAGCTCTGTAGATCTTTGATATCTGTGCTCAGGTAATTTTACACAAAGGAAAACAAATCTAAGGTAAATTTTAGATATGAGCCTTAAACTTGGGTGGGACTAATGCTAAGTGATTGTCATGGAGCATTCTTGCAGACTTAATGTTTTATGCTTTTTAGCCAGAAGTGATTACCGTGTAAGTTGTCCGTTCATTATTCAGTTCTTCTGTCCAGTTGATACCTTAAATCTCTTGTTTCACTTTTTTAATTTTTTTTTTTACAAAGCATATCAGCAGATCCTTCAAGGAGCCTGTTTGTGGATGGAGAATTTGCAATTTATCTTCCCATTGTTGCAAACTGGCAGATCATATGTGTGCACTGTTTACTCAGTGGCACTGGAAAGCCAGATGAATTTGCAGAACTAACAATCCTGGGAATCCATACACAAATGCTCGATGTTGTATATTCAATGTGCTGTACTGTTTATGTAACATAATCAGTGTTTTAGGTCCATTTTTTTCTGTTCTAGTCAATCCTTTCAGTGTTAACAGCATCCTGTAAAATTTAAATATATGTTGAATTGTCCCAGCCCCGCCTCAACCTTATGAAGCCATATTGTATTTTTTTGGTGACATGTACATCTGTTCTACGCATTTGTACATGTGATGTAAATTTGAAGTATTTTTAACAATGTGTGCCTTTACTCTAAAGTGATTTAAACAGCAGTATGTTCTATGATATAAAAAATAAAATATTTTAACCACCATTTCTGTTGAAGGCATTTATTTTCCTTATTAATCAGTATTTTTAGTGAGAACAAACACTGGTTAGCTAGATCTAGTATGTGATAATTTCACCATCTAACGTGTTTTTCTGAACAAGAAGGTCAGTTGGAGTAAATACCTCCCACTGATGGGCATCTGAACTTAATGCTGAAGTAGAGAAACTAGTTTCTCTACCTACCACATGTAATGAGTTGAGAGGAAAGGATGAGTTTCCCTGCCCTACTGAACATGCAGGGAGACTGACTTCTCAATGAGAGTACCTAAATTCAGAGTCCAGAGTTAGGCATGGTGAGTTAGACTTTTTGTTGTTGTTGCTTTTCTTTTAACGTCTCCAGTGCTCAGTCGTGCAAGGAGCTGATGGCCTTAGTCCCAGTCCAGCAAAGCGCTCAAACACTGGCCTAACATCAGGCACAGTCACTTGTGCTTAAAGTGCTGTCCTGTGCGTGGGAATTAAAGACTCTTTAAGTGGAAAAGGTGTTGAATTAGTGGCAAAAAGAGTTTAACCTTTCAAATTGAGCCAGGTAAATCAGTATGACCATTACTTTAAAAAAAAAAAAAAAAAAGGTAAGCCGTTGATAAAAAGACCCTGTATTCGTACCAAAAGTAAGTATATGTGGTAAGCTGTATTCCATACAGATGATGTACCAGCTGAATAGTCTGCTGATTGTACACTCTGTCAGTGGTCCGTACTTTTTAATTGTACGTGTATGAAGCAAAGTGCAGTCCTGTTTTCCTTGATCAGGCAAAGTTCCTTTCAGTTGCACTTGGAGCTGCATCTGCAAAGAAGTGCTGGGTAAGCCATTTAGGTGGAAGAAAAAAAAAAAGAAAATCTTAAATACCGTGGTCAAATCCTGTCCATAGGACTGGGAGCTGACAATGCTGCACAGCCCGTGAGCTACTGAGCGCTGCTCTAGCAGGCAGCCTCAGGTTTGCACACCCGCACACAGGGAAGGCAGCTGCCTGCTCTGGGAGTGTGGTGTTCACCAGTGTTACATGCATACTGCTGGCCTAGGTCACGTCGATGTGTGTTTTCTATACGGAATACTGAACCAAATTGAAAAATTGATTATTTTTTTTTTTGAGGTGGATTTATATTACCTGGAATTCCAGTGGAAGCTGTTTTTTTGTCTGTATTGTAAAACACCTAAAAGGCACTGAGAAATGGATCAAGTTATCTCTAAGTGCCAGGCAGTAGTGGGAGCTACACATGGAAAAGAAAGAACACACTGCCGTTTGTGTAACTCTTAAGATACTCATGTATGTATTTTCCTGTTTCTTTCTAAAATTGAAATAAACTTATTTTAGACTTGAGTTGTTTTGAGGCTGATTTTATTGTAAGATTTGGGGGTTTTTAAGTATTTGCAGGAGAAAGGTCACTTTTCTGGCTCTGATGGACAGATGTCAGTGTGGTGCTGAGCACTTTCAGTTGCCTGTGGAAATGTGCACGGAAGACCTCAACCGCAGGACACAAGTAGCTCCAAAGATACAAAGCTGGAATCGGTCTACTGACTGTTCAGGTGAGAAAATACGACTGCTGTGCATACCCTTGCAGCAGGGGGTCCTTTGTGTCTGTTTGTATGTGAAGGGGGACGGGGAAGAGCTGAAGCAGGTGTCCTGGTCAGCAGGGGGGTGACTAAGTATCCCCTCCCTTGTCACTTGCCTGCTGCAGTCATGCCCATGGGGAGCAAATGAAGGTTTCTGTACTCTGGGGGGGAATGGCAGCAAAGAGGGCTAGCCTTACCCTCGCACCCAGTAGGGAACAGGGGGGTAACTGGGGGGATGTGCGCTCTTTTCCATTGTGAGACCTTGCCCTTGGCTCCTGGCTCCATGCTGGGGGCAGCTATGGTGCCGTGTGAGGAAATGCTCACTTTGGCTTCTTCAGTCTTTTGTTGGTTCATTTAGTACTGTGTGAGGAAACTAGTGGTGTTGGGTTGGAGGGGGAAAAGATGCATGCTACCGCTTTCACGCTTGCCTCATCCAAGATCCTTGGTGCCAGTGCATCAAGACTGATGCACGTGGGAAAGTGGAAAGAATCAGACTTTAAAAAAAACAAAAAAAAAACAAAAAAACAAAACACAACCAAGCAACCTCTGTTACACACTTCTTCCAGTAGGTTGTGTCTCATCCCAGCTAAGTGATATTCTTTCAGT